CTACTATAGCCCACTAGCAAATGTCCTAGGATAAATTTGGATAAGTGGTAGTTATACTTCAGAAAGCAAATCTTAATCCTACTGTTCTGCCTGCATAATTTCAGGATTTTCTAGTTCTGAAAATGATAATTGACTTCTTTCTCCTGTTTTTGCCCCAAGTAATTGGGAGATTAAGTTTCTGGGCTTTTAAGAGCTTATATATGCACTGCACACAAATCCCATCCCTGTGACTCAGACATTTTGATCCCTTGGTTATCAGCCAGGCATTTTTCAACAACCTGTGAATCTCCGGAAACAACCTCTTGGATCTGACTATCCCTTATACCTAAGGACAGCCTGATTTTGCAAAAACTTGATTTAGACAAACCTTTTTGCTGTGCACACCACCACCCCACACAGATGCAGAACACCCTTCTCCCACTACCAACCCACTTTCCTGTAGCCAGCACCACACCAGGTGCTCATCACCAGGGATCCCTGATTTGCTTTCCCAGATAATTTGGCCTAGGGACCGAGTCCCACTCCTTGACATGGGTCACAGGCACAACATAGATTTAACCTATAAGACTGGAAACCTCTGCTTTCACTTATGTCTGGGAACTTTGTTTCTTTGGGTTTTTGAGTAGTCCCTAGTCCTTTAGAAAAGCATGTGAAACCTGTATTTGCTAACGAAATTCACAGCGTCTCATATGCACTTCTCTGTCCTACCAGAGACAACTGGCTTTTCCCTTAGCAGCACCACTGCCAAAGAAGGAACACAGGCTAGGAAAGGACTACCTGGGTCATCAAATCCCAGTTGTCTGCTATCTCAGAACCACGTCATATAATACATTTATGAAATTATCTTAAAACTACTTAGGCTTTGTTGTCTCTACACTTGTTGGGAAACTCTCATTTCCAAGAGATAAGCTTCTATTGTCTAACAGAAATACCTAGTGTTAATCCTTCAGTGCATCAACTTGTATTTCGCACAATTACATTTAATCCCACTTCCATTTCTCCAGTTCTCATCTGCCCAGTTAACCTTCGGTGTTTTGCCTTTACAGAGCTGCAGAGGGAAGGATGTAAGTTTAAGTATTTTTGATACACAAGAACTGCATTATCATTCTGCTGATAAATAGAAAATGCTGTACGATCCTAGCAAGGTTACAGTGACCTTGCTTATTAGTTCAGAAAGGAAAATATGCACTCTCTTTCTGTTAAATAAGTGTGCTAGCATCTTCTGCTAGAAGTGAAGTGCAAAGTTAAATTGCAGTAATACATCACCACAGGATTATGAAAGGAAGTGTTGAGGTAATTTTCACAAATGTAATTGTGTAGCCACAAAGAAGTCCACTATATTACCTGATATAATTATAAGCTAATATATTAATGTAAGAATCAATATGGTTAAGAAATACTTAGAAAAAGAACTGGCAAAGCAGATAACATAAAAATGTAAGTAAGGCAAATTTTCTGCAGCTTTCCCGAGCCGTGTTTCTGGAAACTCTGCCTCTAGCTTAACTGTCAGCTACGTCAAAATGAACAAGATAAGCAACTTAGAAAAACAAGAATGATAACTTTATTTCTCTTTAAGTAGGCCTGTAGCCTTGATAATAATTTCATTGTGTCCACACATGAACCAGCACACCCCAGGTGCTAGTCTGATGGGCCATTGCCACTGCTGGCAGATGTTCCAACGTCCTCTGTCCTCACCCAGCTACTCAGCTTTGGGCCTGTAGGAAATAACAACAGCACAGACCGACTTTTTTTTGTGGCAAAATCATTACAGAAAACATTTAACAGTATCAGGCTCAAGACCAGCCTTTGAGGAACTCCGCTTTCACACTAGTTCTCTTTAGCTTGTTCCTCACCTTGCCTAATCTTCAGGTTCTCCACGTTAATTAATAATTTTCTATTTGGCACTGTGTCAGGTTCTCTACGGAAGCTGACAACTCTATTGCATTTTTTCAGTTACCTTATCAGAGAAAGAAACCAAGTTTGTCTGGCATGAACTACTGCTGCCAAATGCAATTTGCATTTTATCCTCTTTTACAGCAACTTTAGTCTCTCTAATCACTTTTCCCATCAAAAATAGATTTTAAAGTCCTGTGAAGTCAGACTGAAGGACCATCCAGAATACCTTTCCTAAATATAGCGCCATGTATTGATATAACTGAAACCTTGCAAACTGCAGAATCAATGTTATCTGTTTTCTTCATGCACGCAGCACATTCTGCCTATCCTCAGTAGACCATGAAAGCACTGTTGGTAGATGAGCAGTAATTTAAAAAGTCAATAAAGTCCTCCTTCAGGCATTTCAAGGAGGCTAATGAGAAATGAATAAATTGTATATTGCCCAAAGTAAAATTCAATAACATATTTGCATTTACGCGGGATGATATTACCAGTCATTGTACCAGTGTTGCAGCTCCCTGCAGGCCCCTGTGGAGTAAGAACATAATTTCTGCAGTCAGTGATGATGATTCCCAGCTATGCTTCTAACTTCTCTTCTCCAGAACTTTGGAAAGGTACTTGAAATGATTATGTCTGAGAGGAAGTGCTACGTTTATCTCCCAAAGAGTAGGTCTACGGCACATTATGTCCTTGGTTTTACAGTCCACAGTGTATGTGGGAGACAGTCCTTCTTTATTATACTGCAGCCACCTTTAAGAGCACAACACTGCTCTTTCTTTTCTTTTTTTTTTTACATACTGTTCCTTTCAGAATGTCTTCTCAAGTAGAATACCAGTGGTCTTGGGTGTTCATACGTAGTTTATCACTTTGATTCTCTCTTCCTGGCTGCTTGGTTCTTATCTCTCCAAGCAAAAGCATTTGTAAAACATGAAATAATTATTCTGCTCTGTTCTGTTTAGAAGATTTTCAAACTTGGGCTTTAAGAAGTTTACAAAACTACAGAATCATAGAATGGATTGGGTTGGAAGGGACCTTAAAGATCCACCCCCCCTGCCATGAACAGGGACATCTTCCACTAGACCAGGTTGCTCAAAGCCCCATCCAACCTGGCCTTGACCACTTCCACGGATGGGGCCTCCACAACTTCTCTGGACAACCTGTTCCAGTGTCTCATCACACTCAGAGTGAAAAATTTCTTCCTAATATCTAATCTAAATCTCCCCTCTTCCAGTGTGAAGCCATTCCCCCTCATCCTATCACTACATGTGCTTTGTAAAAAGTCCCTCTCCAGCCTTCTTGTAGGCACCCTTCAGATAATGGAAGGCTGCTACAAGGTTTCTCCGGGGTCTTCTCTTCTCCAGGTTGAACAACCCCAACTCCCTCAGCCTGTCTTCATAGGAGAGGGGCTCCAGCCCTCTGATCATCTTTGTGGACCTCCTCTGGACCCACTCCAACAGGTCCATGTCCTTCTTATGTTAAGGGCTCCAGAGCTGGACACAATATTCTGGTGGGGTCTCACAAGAACGGAATAGAGGGGCAGAATCACCTCCCTTGACCTGCTGGTCACGCTTCTTTTGATGCAGTCCAGGATACAGTTAGCTTTGTGGGTTGTGGGCACACATTGCCAGCTCATGTTGAGTTTCTCATCAATCAACACCCTCAAGTCCTTCTCCTCAGGCCTGTTCCCCATCCATTCTGCACCCAGCCTGTATTTGTGCATGGGATTTCCCCAGCCCATGTGCAGGACCTTGCACTTGGCCTTGTTGAACTTCATGAGGTTTGCACAGGCCCACCTCTCAAGCCTGTGCAGGTCCCTCTGGATGGTATCCCTTCCCTCCAGTGTGTCAACTGCTCCACACAGCTTGCTGTCATCAGCAAGCTTGCTGAGGGTGCACTACATCCCAACATCCATGTCACCAACAAAGCTGTTAAACACCACTGGTCCCAGTATTGACCTCTGAGGAACAAAAAAGGGAAAATCAAATAATATGAGATGAGATTTAGAAATTGTGGCATAGAAATAAAAGATTGAAGAAATTAGATTTGTTTGCTCCAGGATAAAGACGACTGAAGAGACTGCAGGGAAGAAGTCGGGTAAATACCTTTGTAAAAGATGTAAAAGACTAACTATGTTTGAGCTTTTTTTAGTGCAAGGGGCCTGAAGTTGATAATCTCTCGAGATGTGTCAGTTTTACATTTCTACGCTTTTGTCTCAAGACAGAAAGTCATTACCAATGTCACCAACAGACGTTTTGGGCCTGGCGATTTCGCCATCAGTGCCTTTGAGCACCGAGGTGGTTGTTTTCATGCAGATATTTGTACATAAACTGTTTTATTTTTATTTTCTCGCGTAGTTCTTTGCAGGATACAGAGATAAAGACGGTCTGTAGCCAAACAGGGGGGAAACCCTCTACCCAGTTACATCTATTCATTCACAAATTACAGGTGAATATACATGGAACTACGACTTTGCACAGGTGCATCTTCTATGAAGTCTCTGACTGCTGTATGTCTCAGGTTATTCCTTTGGAGATGAAGAGAGATTAAGTTTTGCTGATGCTGGATATATTATTAAAACATTATGTATATCACCCTTTTTCTTTGGTGTTACAATGTCAGGTAAGGACATCACCTTCCCTTTACAGGGTAAGGGTATCACCTACCCTTTACAGGAAGAGGGAGTAGGTAGAGCGAAGATGAGCCAACTACTTCGAGCTCTGTTCTTACACCAGGATCCCATCCGTAGGTGAATGGCTTGAGCACTGTGCCTAGTGTTCTGAGACTGGAAAGTGTGACAAAATTACTGTGGGAGGCAGTGAAAGGACTGACTGTAACTGCTGTGTCAGTCTTCTTTCTACGTTGTTTATTGCTTCTTAAACAGAAGGCTATACTTCTCCTTGTCTTATGCAATGCACCAGCATTAAAGTGAAAGACGGTCCTGCTCTGAATAGCTGAATAGAGAAGGGTAACTTTGTTTTGTGGAAGACTGTGTTATTTCAGAATATGGTTTCTTTCTGTTAGGAACAATCCCCTATTTAGAAAAAAAAAAAAAAAAGGCGTGAAACTGCGGCTCCAGGGAACTGGAGGTGGACTACCCCAGAGCCATGAGCAATGGGAGTCCCCACGCAGCAGGCTGCCCCACAGCTGTGGACACTGAGAGCTCCAGCTATCAAGGAAGAACGAGCCTGGAAGCCCTGAGAGCCACAGCTCCCGGCACTTCCCAGATCTCTGCCAAGGAACCAGGTCAGCAAGCTGTCAGGAAGCTGGGTAAGGTTCTCATCGAGACGCTAGATTTTGATGAGTCAGCAAATGCTCAATTCAAAACATGTCAGAATTTTTCCAACCAGCTCTACTCACAATCTAAACAAATAAAGGGTGTGGGGAGGAAATACTGTCCTTATTTTACACCAGAGGGACTGAGGCACAGAGATATGAAGTAACTTATGCCAGGTGTTACAGAAAGTCTGCAGTCAGGAGGCAAACTTAGATTCCATGCTGTCCCTTAATCACACGAGTATCCTTCCTCTAAACTTAATTAATTTGCCATTACAATGACCTTGTGAGATAAGTATTACTTTCATTTTATAAACGGGAAACCAAAATAACTTGTACAACAGCGGATAGGAAGCCTGTATCTGAGCCAGGCCTCAAACCCAATGTTCCTAAAGCTGCTAAGCTTTAGTAGCAAGCCTGCCTGTTTCTTTTGTGGACAAGGTACGCAGACAATACCCAGTTAATTTTGGATGACCATACTTACCTAACCATACTAACTGCAGCAATGGTATAGATTCCTGCAGCAAAATACTTCTGCGCTCCAGTCTTGTTATACTGAAGACATACTGTCCACACAAAAATGCTGCTTTACTATGAATAAAGCCCTTGTATGTGGCTGTGGGTAGTACAGAACTAAAACTTTAGATAGAAGGAGGCAACCAATGCTTCCCTAAACACTCATATATACAGTTCAGCTGGCTTTCTTGGTTCTGCTAAACATGAGCAGCTATATCTATACCTAGGCACACCACATAAGCTCTTTTCCCAAGTATTTTAAGTTCCCAGGTTTCCTACGCTTCTGTATGTAGATATCAACTCATCCTTCAGCTGGATTTCTACTTTGAACACAGCCCTAATGGTAGGCAAGAGCGATAGAATCACCTGGTATTAAAGTCAGTTCTGTTTTTATCAACAGACTTTGATTTCAAATGTCAGTGCTTTTCTTCGTTTCTTTCTTTGTTTCTTCGCCAATTTTAAAATTTGGGATTTAAGTTTCCCAAACTGTGTTCTTTTAGGGAACATAGCTATGGAAAATACGTTGTTTTGCTGGCATTAGTATCCTTGTAGCCTTTTTCTTTTCTACTACTTTTGACTTCTGAAAAGGAATTTGAAATTTCATAAGGTAGTGAGCCGCATTTAAGCTATGGATGTGTTTTCTGCTGCTGCTGTGAAAATCTGCTGAAATTTGGCAAAGTCACAGACCTTTGATAAGTCTGTTTGCAAGCGCATAATAAAGGCCTCAGAGTTTACCAACTAAAATGCTCAAATCCTGTTCTCACTGAACAGGCTGTACAGATGCTGTCTTTTCTAATGGACGCCGTGCTCTTTGTCCTTCGGGCTGCCCGAGGCCCACCTGGAGGGAGGCAATAGGCTGTGACACGGTACCTTATTTCTGCCATTCTCTCAGTGCTCTCCCTGCCGGCACCCAAGCGCCACAGAAGAGGCCACCCAAGTTACATACAAAGGGAATGAGAGCTTGACCAAAGGAGGGGGGAAAGGCAAAACTAAAACTGCTGGTCGAGGGTGAAGCTGTGGCTGAGAATTGTTGAGGGAAGGCTGGACTGTGACCAAGTAGGCAGGAAGTAAAAATTAGAAGCGCTCGAGCAAGGAGACTTTGACATACAGAAGAGTGGATAACAGGATTAGAAGCTCTCGAGGGAAATTAAGAGCAAACTAGGATTCACTAGGAAAAAGAGACTGACACTGTGTGAGAAATGTGAATGGGATGCACAGGAGTCATGGGAGTAGAATTAGCTAGGTTTGCCTGGGAAGGAGATTGGAAAAAAACATGTAGAGACAGAGCAGAGCTAAGAACAAAGGATGCCTTTTGGAAGGGAGACTGAGAGCTTGATGGGTGAAGGCAGGAAACAGCGTAAAGACCCTAACAAGAGGAAGGAGAAAACTTGGAGGCAGATGAAAGGTGACAGGGATCCAGCTTGATGCAAAAGAGTCTTTGTTCATTAAAACACACTTTTCTCCACGATCTGTAAAGAGTCTTGAGAATCACCATTTCTCTAGGGTCATCAGATGTATTTTAGAACCATTGGCAAAGTGTGTTTTTCCTCCTTTACTAGTTTGGTTTATTAAATGGTGACATACTATGCTAGACCTGTAACAGAGAATCTGTTAGATAACAGAGAATCTGAAAGTTATTTTTATGGATAAATCCTATGAGAGTGAACATAATGTCTTACATGAAATTTCAGGATTTATTTTTGGTAAAAGAAGAATCACTTGTGAAGTGAAACCTTAGAAGTTAGCAAATGCCATAGGTAATGCTGGCTATGATTGCAAGATAGAAGTTACAGAACAACTTTCCTATGGGGCACAACCAAGCAGAAGTCAGTCTGGAAAACAGACAGCCTAGAGGGGATATTATAGAGATGTGTAAAAATCCTAAATGGCACAAATAAGAGAGTGGAAAGGGATTTTCTGTCTCTTTCAATTCAAGCTCCAACGTATATAAAATGAAACTACAATGAGGCAGGTTCAAAACAAAAGGAGATGATTCAACTGCTTGGCAAAGGTGGTTGTGGAGGCTAAAAGCCAATACAGGTAAAGTAAAGAATGCATAGGTACACGTAGGATAAGTCTGTTGGTGACTACTGCTGTATATATGGAGTTCATATCTATCTCTAGACTTTGAACCAAAAATGGGAGGCTTGGAGAAGGCTGGGAGAGCATGGGAGATGTTTTCCTCATCCTTATTTCTTTTGTATCCGCCATTCTTATTGACTTGTAGAGGGAAAAAGTATAGCCAGATCCTCAATAAAAGATTTCATAGGAGGCTGAGAAGGACTGAAACCTGCCTCAACTGATGTACAGCTGAACTTGAGTTTCCTTTTCACTGCAAGGGCATGATGCAGAAGACTGTGTAAATCACACCATGAACACAACCGTGCCCACTGCCAGTTCTCTATCTACATGGGTGGAAACAGGAGGTGATGTTGGCGTCTCCTCTGGCCACATTTTAAAAAGTGTGTTACCAAACTCTTTGAGAGAGATCTGTGGGTTGTGGATCTCAAGTTGACAGAGTTGTTTCTGAAATCCAGAATGAGGTCCTGTGAGGCTGTTCTTAGGCCACAACACTGTGCTCAGCATTTCCTTTTACCTGACTTTACACAAATACACATTGAGCCTGCTAATTTTAATCAATTCCTGCTCAGACTGATGATTTCTGTGCATCCTTTTCTGTGCTGCTTAGCTCTCTGCATGACATGCACTGCATAGAAAGCATAGGCACCCACTCAGAATCCTGGAGTCCAGGAATTCAGATGGTTAAATCCTTATTTCGATCTAGTCCTTTGGCCTTAATAGCTGCGCCTCTTTTCTCAACATACATAAGCAGAGCTAATACCAATACATCATCTCCTGGGATATTGTTGAAGATAAGATCATCTGTAAAGGCTTACATTCTAAACCTCCAGGCAGTTTGATTTGTATCTAATGCTATCTGGCTTTGCTTAGTCTAGCTGATAATTACAGTGAGTGAGTAACAATTGTGAAACATCATCATGTGACAAAATCCCTTGATGTTCATAGTTGGTGCTTAGTGACACAGTTTATGGTTCCTTCTAGAGGTACAGTCACTATAAGACGACAGTCTGATATTTTTTCAGAGTTTGGTGAGTTTCGCCACTTCAGTGGTGACAACTGCTGACAGAAGAACCTAACACTAGAATAATCAGGTTCACACCAAATAATTATGCTCACACAAAACAGACTGAGCTCTTTAGGCATGGCAGACTGATGCTTTTTTTTCCAAAATTGCAGGCTTGTTTATTCTTCTAAATTTCAAAGTTGTTCTACAGAAGAAAATAATACCTTGAAGTCTTAATTTCCTAAATGGAGTCCTGATCACCCTAAATGGGGTCATTTTGCTTCTTCCAGCTGAAAGTAAAAGGCCTAGGAATTAATTCTGCTGATAGACTGGAATATTTGTTAAAGGAGGTGTAATTAAGGCCTATGCTTTCATAGGACTAGAAATTAAAAATTGTAGCAAGGATCAGAACATTTTTCTTATTTTGCCTCTGTAGCCTAGAATGTGAAAGACCAACATTCAAACTCCTGCGCCTCAATTCAGAATGATCTAGGATAAAAAGTGCCTATGAATCAAGAGAAGCAAGGACTTGGTGGCAGTGTCCTAGATCTAATCACTGTGGCATACTCATTTCTTGAATTGGAAAGTTTGAGTTTCATTCAGTTGCAGACATTTCAACCATATTACCCTATGACACCGATAAAATTATACTAGGAAATTAAGCAAACCTTAGTTCAGGAGACGCTGTACCTTCTGAGTGACTAAAAACTAAACCAGTATCTATATATTTGATAACATATACTTGATAAAGAGAGGAAACTGTATTAAAAGGGCCTATGGAAAATATCAAATTATCAAAAGCAGAAATAAAGTGTGTGAACGTGTGAGTGTGTGTGTCCTGTTTGATGGTGACAGATTAAGAATGTGAAAAAGCATCAAATGAAACAAAAAAAAATAAAATTCAAACATTAGCATAACAAAAAAGGAAAAAGAGGGGGCATGTTAAAAACATGCAGAAGGTAAGACAGAGCACAGAAAAGACAGGCAGTCTTATTTACTCATTGGTAATATAGGAGGAAAAAAACATTCAAAGGAATCGGGAGGCAACCATTCCAAACCTGGTAAACACATGTCTTATATAAAAGCCCAATGAATTGAAGGATCTCAGTGCTCATTTTTATCACTGGGGAAAAGGACTGAGTCAGATTCAAGACAGGAATAGCCATCTGTGTAGAACAGACACATATATAAACACATACACAAAAGGGGCTCACAAATAGAAAACTGAAAGAATTTTATTAAGTTGCAAAGTCAACCACTTAAATATATCATGAAATGACTGATTAAAACTGTTTGTCTGAGTTCAACTATGAGACCAGGTACTACTTTTCCATTAGACTTCTATTGTATTGGGTGCACAGAACGTGCATTATTTCTTGATGAGTTTGGTATT